AGTGAGGTTCGTGAGGCATTGGGATGTGCTGCCCAGGGAGGTGGTGGAGTCACCATCCCTGGAGGTGTTTAAGAAAAGACTGGACGTGGCACTTAGTGCCATGGTCTAGCTGAGATGGTGGTGTTAGGGCAAAGGTTGGACTCGATGATCCCAGAGATCTCTTCCAACCAAATCGATTCTGGGATTCTGTGAAGGGCTGGCTGGCTTTCTGCCATGGGCTCGTCTCACTGGCCTGGTGTTCCTGCAGCAGAGGTTTGGCACAGGGACATGCTTCACTCCTCTCTCACCAGTGCCAATCTCGTCTCCTTCTCTGCCTTTCCTCTCCCCAGAGGTCGAAGTGGGGGAATGATCGTGGATCCTCTCCGGTCTGGCTTCCCGCAACCCGGCATGGACCCATCGTCGGGCATCCCAGGCCGGCTTCCCCCAGGAGCAGTCCCTCCAGGCGCCAGATTCGACCCCTTTGGCCCGTTAGGGGCTGGGAGATTCGGGTAGGTACTTGGCCGTGCCGGGTATCCCCAGCCTGCTCTGCGGACTACCCGTGGATCTCCTGGCTCGCCCCTGTTGCTGCAGGCCTAAGCTCTCGCTCCTGGTTTGAATCTGCTCTGAATTTCTTTCCAGGCCAGATCCCGACCACCTTCCCCCTCCAGGCTATGACGACATGTTCATGTGAGGAGTCACCGCATGGCTTCTCGTGGCTGCAGCCAGAGCAGTCTCCTGGGAAGCAGGAGCGCTTTCCCCTCTTCGCTCCCAGTTCAATGGACTCCCATCTTTTCAGCAGCATTTTTCTTCTCCCTATTCGGGGCCACGTTCCTGTGTGTCAGACCAGCTATAAAGGTTTCCCTGTGTGCAGAACAGAAGAGGAGGCAGTAGGTCTGTTTCTTTCTGTGCTCCTCTGAGGGTGCCCGGCCGTTTGCACCCCACTAAAGTGGTCCTGCCCTGTGTGAGGTGGCAGCGTGGGCTGCGATGCAGCTCTCCGAGAGCAGCCTGGGTGCTGTGGGGTTTCCTCCTCTGCTTCTCCAGGGTGGCACCGCTTTTGCTGCTGGGGTTACGCAAGTGGTGGGTGCTGAGGAGGGAGCTGGCTTCGTGCTGCTCCCGTGCTGGGGAGCTGCAGTAGCCTCACTGAAGGTGACAGCCAGAGTGGGCTCCCCATGCAGAGATGGTTTCTCTCCTGCTCTTTATCCGAGCGAGGGGCTGATCAGCATCAAGGGCTAGACAGCCCGACCCACGGGGTCTCCATGGACAGAGCCCTGGCAGCGGCTTAGATCAGCTTCCACGTGGCCGTGCCCACTGGCTTCAAAAAGCACCACCTGCAAAGCCTTTAATGTGCATGAGAAGACATATACATTGAATTCCTGGCCCCACCTTGCCCCCTCTCTCTTGTGCAACCATGTTGTTTTTCATTCTCGGGGTGCGTGAGTAGCACCCAGGGCCGCCCGCGGGGCACCATGCGGGGCTGGGGTAGGAGGGAGGGTGCTGGGTGCCTGCGTGACCTGCTGGGCCCAGCATTGGCTCTCCAGGCACGGCAGAGCTGAGCCCAGCACCGAGCTGGGGCCCTTCTGGGGATGCGCACAGGGAGTTCGCTCAGCTGTGGGATTTGCTTTGTAGAAGAAGTTTATAGAACAGGATTCCCTGCCGTCGGTCCCGTTGCATGAGGCTGGTGTGGCTCTGCCTGGCTGAACTCTGCCAAACAGCTCGGGGAGAACGGGTGAGATATGTGTGGCTCAGGCTCCTGAGCTCTTTCTGGAAATCTCCTCCCTGCCCCGCAGCTCCCTCCAGGTCAGTTAATTTTGGGACTGCAGCTCGTCTGTCCTGTCAGGGGTTCATACCATGGTTTTTCTTCTCATGGTTTGTTTTCTTGGAAGGATGTTGATGAGACTGAAATAAAAACCTGACAACGGTGTTGTGTTGGTGCTTGCTGGGGGTGGCCCCCCCTGCCCCAGCTGCAGCCCCCTTCTCCCCGCTGTGAGAAGGGAAACCCCAAGGCTCTGCCCAGGCTGCCCCTGCCCTCCCCGAGGCAGAGGATTCACGCTGGGAGCCCACTTTGTACCTTCCCCTGAGCAGCAGCGCTTTTCCGAGCTGATGTGACTGTATTAAGGAAATTAAGTGGAGAACAGCCCGGCCTTGGCTCTGGCTGCGCTCCTTGCAGTAATTGGCTCTCCGGGGTGTTG